ACTTCTGAATCGTCTCGGTGGCGGTGAAGGCCTGCCGTAATGAACTCTGAAACCATGAGCAACATATGAGCTGGCTGCATTGTTTGACAGAACTCCTTATGTCATCTAAGAGAGTCTTGTGTAGTACAGTGGCAATCATAAGCCATCAACCTGCAGAAAGGACTGGAGGCTACAGAGAGCACTAATTCATTCCGTGATGCGACATGAAAAGCTGTTGTCTTCTATCATGAATGAGGATGGCACTTGACAAAAGAGTAAAATGCGCCCCCTCACAGTCGAATACTGAACATATTCAATACCTGACAACTAATGCCATTGAATACTTTCTCGTCCATGGAAATGTGCACCGAAATTAAGACTACAGAGACGAAAGGATTCCCTGAAAGTACAAATCCTTCATACTTACACTGGATTAACATTAGGAAATACAAGCAAACCTTTTCAATCAAGAGCAGCATCTTCGTGGAATAACTGTGAAATGCTATACGGTCATCCGCGAAAAAGTAGGATATAAATATGTTAAAACAGGCTTTAGAGCAGCATACGCTCGTCAACAATATGACTACTACGATATTATTGATGTTACGAAAGTCAACATCACATGAGAAACATTTAATGCAGAGCACACAACCTCTAAAACCAGATCGATGGAAGGATGAGCTGAACAACTTTCGCTGGATAAAGCTAGGTAAGAATCACAGAAAATGCATGTTTATTTCAAACCCGAATTCTGCACACAGTAACTTTTGTAGTCACAGTACCGCAGCTATGAAATTAAATGTACATAAGGTACAGTGTTTCACATCTGCAGTAGATATATATCCTTGATACCTACAATAATATGCAGAATTTTTTTGGTTCGGGAATACAATGTGCACCAATTGCACTTTCCTAAGCTTATGCTACAGCCACGCAGTATGACTGTAAAACCGAAAGTATTGTGGTCTGTTATTAATTGGTCTTTTTTATACACTTATAGCCGCCGTACACAACTATAGAAATACGTATTTCTATAAGAGAATAAAAAACATGAAAAACAAAACAATACGGCATACTGCAATACGTTACGTACATTTAATTTGTAATCACTATATACAGCAAAATCAGCTCCAAAAAAATAAGAAAATGCGTGCAGTACTAGAGAAGTACTGTAGTATTGCAGATAGTACTATATACATATATAAACTCATCTATAAGTTAAACCACTACCGTGGGTTCTCTCACATATTACAACAGCAGCATGACAACGAATAAGTAAAACGTGTCCGGCATATTTAATAAGCTAAGAACTATTCGTATTTTTAAGAGCGTGGCCAGTGGTATAAAGTCTTTAATCGGAAAGTTAACATCGTTCAAAGCCTACGAACAGGCGTGTGATATTCAACAATACTGATCATGCCGCAAAGGGTGGGCAACAACAAAAACACGGGTGAATAACAGGAAGCATAATGGCATATTCCTCAAACTGGTCAAGGTCTGGCACTCACTTGAAAATCCAAAGAGATATGAGAGCATGGAGAAGGGGGCAGCTTTTATAAATGCGGTCTACCTCTTTTAAGTCAGTTGCACTAGCATCAATAAAAATCCTTAACCAGAGAAACGGACGGATGCTGGGTCAAAGAAAGCAATATCAAGATCGCGGTTATTCGATTGGTACGGAGTTAGACTCAGAACTGAGATGTCCCGGGTTTCAATTCTGGTCGCGTCACTCGGGCTACCTTCATCTGAGGCATACAAATGCATACCACTATGTGGAAAGGAAATGGGAGACTACAAACGATACATGCCACATAGCTGTTGT